CTGTGTTTAACTTCCTGAGTGGGGAGCACATCAGAAAGGTTGGAGATGCTGTAGTTAGTCTTGAGGGTTAAATCGTAAATGTAGCTACAGTTTATTACTTTGTTGCAGCCATAAGCTAAAGAAATAAACCATCAACTTCAGATTGGGACACAGAACACAGATTGTGGCTGTACCCATTCATTGATGACTTCTAGCTAATCAGCTAATTGAACGTGAGATGCTAAATTCTTGTTAAGTATGTAAGAATAAAAAACATCCTATCTTCAGTTATGCTATTTGGAGGTTTAGGCATGCCTACTCTATGACAAAAGTGGAGGCCAATTTTGGGTTTGAAGGTAACTTCTAATCTTCTAGATTTAAGCCCTTTGTTCCACCCTTTCCACCAGAAATCCTCCTTGGCTCTCCTGGAAGTGACTTTCATTAAGATGCTTTTAAAAAGAAGAAAACAATGTTCCAGCAAACTGCAGAGTCTACACCGTGGGGTTGATCCTGTCCACCCCTGATATTTCAAAGAAAGCCTTGGAGAAATACCAAGCTCAGACTTAACAAATACAGGAAAAAACCACATGATCATCTCAACAGATACTAAAAAAGTCATTTGAGGAAATTTAATATGTGATTTCTGATTTTAAAAAAACAACTCTCAGTGCAGTAGGGCTGGAAGGGTTGGAAATGCCTTAGCTTGTCAAACTGTTATCTGCTAGGATTCTATAATAGACCTTAAGGATATGAAGCATTAAAAGTTTTTTCATTAAAGTCTGGGACAAGCAGGGACCTCCAGTCTCATCCCTTTTACCTATTGCCTTGCAGAGCCCAGCCAGTGCAGGGAGGTGTTTTTTTTTTTAGGTAGGAATTATAAACATTGAGGCAACAACTATCTCTAGAGGCAGAAAAGATTATTTACCTAGAAAACTCAGAGAAGTTAGAACTATTAGAACTAATAAGGGAGTAAAGTGGCTGGATATAAACCCAGCATTTTAAAACCAGTAGCTTCTTATATGTCAGCAGTAACCAATTAGTAAGTCTAACAAGGGAAATTTACATTAGCAACAATTATGAGAAAACATTGAAGGGATAAACTTAGCAAAAAATGTGAAAGTTTAAAGTGAAGAAAACTGTGAAACTTAAAGATGTAAGAAAAAGAACAAAAAGTAAAAATGGGGAGTATACTAAGGTTATATTGAATATTTAAAAGGTATCAGTTGTCCCTAAATTTACCTATGGCTTTCATGCAATCTTCATTCAAAAATTCCATTAATAATTTTAAATATAACTTAATATATCCTGAAATTCATCTAGAAGAGTGTAAGAATACTGAATAAAATTTTACGAAAAGAACAATAAAGAAGGAAGAACTTGCCCTATCAAATATCAAACCTTACTTACCATTATATTAAGACACTTGGACAATACTGTGTAATGCCCCTTGCATGTACTTTATACAAAAATAAATCTTAGGTGATTCAAAATCCTAAAAATATAAATTAATTATAGTTGTATTAGAGAAAAGTATAGAGTAATATATGTACACACACGTATGTACACACGTATATGTATACATACATACTTGTATACGTGCATGCATATAATTTGGGGATAGAGAAGGTATGAAATTAGAAGCCATAAAGGAGAAAATTTTAAGACATTATTACCATGTTACAGTGTAAGATCTTGTCAGTAGTGCAAAACTCTATAAGCAAAGTTAGAAAACAAACAGTCTGGGAGAAAATATTTTCTACAAATAAAACAGATGAAAGGATTATATCCATCGTCTATAAAGAGTTCTTTCTATAAAGAATTCTTACAAATGAATAAGCAACAAAATCCATTTAAAAAGAAGCAAAAGATATGAAGAGGGTGGTATACAGGAGAAGAAATGGATCCAATGGACATGTGAGATGCTCAGTCTCACTAGTAACAAGGAAATGTAAATTCAACAATAGTGATATTTGTATATATCAGATTGGCAATATTTTAAAAATTAATATTTAATTGTACAAAACTGCACTCTTAGAAATGTTGGTACAACTATAAATAGATAAGATTCAGCAATGCTTTTAGAAATATAAAATATACATGTCTTTTGCATGAACAGTCTCACTTCTAGATATCCCTTCTATAAAAATACTCACATATCTAAAAATCCTTCCATTGGGGAATGATTAAGTAAATTGTTACATATCCAAGCTATGGAATACTACTCACCCTTTAAAAAGAACAGAGTAGTTCTGTTTGTACTAACATGGGAAATTGCATATGGTATACTGGTATATTGAAAAAGTAATTTAAGATCTGTGGGTAGAATAATCCTATTTGGGTTAAATCATTTATATGTAAAAACCAAGGATTGAGAGGTTCACACCAAGCAGTTAAGGGTGGTCTCCTCTGGGAAGAGCAGCAAGGTAGATTGGGGGCAAGGGAGACACATTTCTGCATTTGTTGAAATTTTGCAATGAACATCTTTGGTAATTTAAAAAAATTAACGTAGGGCTTCCCTGGTGGCGCAGTGGTTGAGAGTCCGCCTGCCGATGCAGGGGACACGGGTTCATGCCCCGGTCCGGGAAGATCCCACATGCCGCGGAGCGGCTGGGCCCGTGAGCCATGGCCTCTGAGCCTGTGCGTCCAGATCCTGTGCTCCGCAACGGGAGAGGTCACAACAGTGAGAGGCCCGCATACCGAAAAAAAAAAAAAATTAATGTAATGATGCATTCTTAACTTGAAAATTCTTATATTAAAAATTTGCAAATCCACAAAAGGTAGGACAAAATAATAAAGCTCTTCCTCCCTCTCAGTGATACTGTGGACATTTAGGAATAAAGGGGGAAAAATGAGTCCAGCAGAGTTAATACAGTATAAAATATAGACAAACAAGATGATGCAAGGGTATCTTGGGAGAAAAGAGACCCGGCTGTGTTTCTCATGTACTTTGCTGGTTGCTCTGTGATGCTGGGGAAGCTATTGAAAGCCATTGACTCGTCTGTGGTCCAGTTAGGTTTTCTCTGTGCTGCAGGTAGGGCTGACCTACTTCCACTGGGAGAAAGGGCTTGAGAGAAAGAATGCAGATAAAGCTTCTGCCTAAATGTGAAGTGTTATTGTTAGAATGTTCATGAATGAATGTCAGCGCCCAGCATCTCAGAGGGCCCCCGTTAAATGAGGAGTATTCTTTGTAGAAGCAGAACTCTGAAGTAGGCACCACCGTGAGGAGTGGGGTGGGGATAAAATAGAGAAAACATGAAAGACCATGTGGTCTGGTAGAGGAGGGTGTGTGTGTGTGTAAACCTTAACATGTATAAATCAATAAAGGGGATTTAAATACAACATAATTAACAGAATACTGAAGTACTAGGGAAGAACTTGAAGTAACTTTGAGCAATTAGATTTGGGAAATATTAATTAAGACATGCTTCCAGAGGGGAGCAGAGGGTGTATCTACCTGTGGGTGTGTGTATGTGATGCGGGGGTGACGCATGGGGCGTGGTGGTTGAACTGAGAGGGCATTGGGTAGCTTTATTATTAAGTTCAAAGAGAGTTTCTAAAGGGAAAGTAAAATACCTGTTTGACTCAGATATGGTCCATTTTGTAAGGCAATGTCGAGAGGCACAAGATCAAATTTAGCTTGACCCCATCCAGTGCAGAACTCAGCAGCCTCTAGAAGCTGGAGCTGAACTGAGCGAGGCTAATGAGAAATCTCCATCCTCTGCCAATGCCTTGGGACCCATCTCTTCCTCTTTGGCAAGCAGGATACAAAGAGAGCTCAAAGCAGAGTGGGGACCAAAAGGTCCCCAGAACGTTCATTCTGCAAGCTCCCCACCAGGCCTTTCCGGAAAACAGACGAGCCTGGTTTCACAGGTTAGCCAGAAAGCAAGTCGATGGCTTTGCCCTTCAACCCGGGGTAGTTTCTAATGGCACCTACAGGATACTCCGCATGGCGTCCAGCCTTCAGCAGTGAGGGAGAAGAGGACGTGTGCTAAGCCGAGCTGAGCTGTATCCTCTCATTTATTCTCTGGGCGTGAAAGGGGTGATTGTAAAATTCAAATGGAACTAGAAGTTGAGGTTCAGAGCTCCCCACATAAACGCTGCAGTCTGTTATTCCAAAATGCAGTCCACCCTCTTTCGAGGACCTTTGTGCGTTTCAGTGGTTTGGTTTGCAGAACCGTCAAGTGGAAGTTAGATCATCTCCGTTGCATCTTTTCCATTTTGCTCAATATTCCTTGAATGCACACATGGGTTAGCACCACAGCCTGGTAGCTCATCTCCTGTCTCCAGTCCTGCCCCCTTCAGTTCACTCCTCACACTTCTTTCCACACTTCAGCTCTGCTTCTCACTTCAGTGCTCAGAAGCCCTCAGTGACATTCAAGGCCTTTTATAACATCCCTACTGCCCACCTTCCTTGACCACGTCTCTTGCATTTATGCCTCTCTCCTTTCCATCTTGTGTTCTGATACAGCTACCCAAGACTACTTGTGGTTCCTCAAAAATGCAACCCTCTTTCTTGTATCTGTCCCTGGATTACCGTTTTTACTAATTACTGTGTGTCTCAAGACGCCGCTATACCAAGCATCTTCTCTAGGAGTGTTCCCTAACCTGCTTCGGGTTATGTCCTTTCCCCCCACACTCTGGAAGCACGTGTGGTTTCCTTTCATCCCTTCACTATATCTCACTGGCTAGTTTTGGTCTGATTCCCTGACTCACCTGGAAAACACCTTAAAGGTAAAAAAGAGTACCTGACACATAGTTGGTGCTTCATGAATATGTTGTAGGACGGAATGAATGCATGTATTTTTTAATTTAGTTTGTGAATATGTGTATGTGGGTCCTTGTTTTCCCTGATCTGACATGAGTAAAGCCATTCAGCCTGCTGTGCCTCAGGAACGATGTTAGAGTCACATTTAAGTAAGTTTAAGACTCTTGCCCTCATCCTCATACTTGAGCATCATCAAGTAGCTGTCTCCTGGGCCTCCATAGAGTGTGCATGAATTAAAACTCCTGTGTTGTTCCAGGCCAGCTGTTGCCAGCCAACCGCAATACTCCGAGCCCCATTGACCCTGACACCATCCAGGTCCCGGTGGGCTATGAGCCAGACCCGGCCGACCTTGCCCTCTCCAGCATCCCTGGGCAGGAAATGTTTGACCCTCGCAAACGCAAGTTCTCTGAGGAAGAACTGAAGCCACAGCCCATGATTAAGAAAGCTCGCAAAGTCTTCATCCCAGATGATCTGAAGGTAAATTGGAACTGGTAATTAGGCTGTGGGCAAGTGGAGAGTGGGATCAAGAGGCAGATTAAAAGGGTGACCCCAGGAAAATCACACAAGCTAGTGAACAAAGACTTGTGATTTCTGATCCCATTTCTTGGCACGTGGCGAGGCAAGTTGCTTCCTCTCTGGGTGTCTTCTGAACTATGCCTTCCATATCTTGATAATGCATAGATATAAGGAAAAGCAATAAAATGGAGTGCTTTGCAGCCCATGAAGGAAGCAAACCCACTACAATCTGCAAGGAAACCTATGAAAGCCCTAATAAAATCAAACCAGGATCTTTCAAGGTTGAAAAGAGAAAAAAAACAATTATTTGGGAAGGGCATCTGGACCTCATAGTCTCCAAGGGTTACCTTTCCTTTGGGAATTTAACACTAATTAACTGCTTCCATTTCTCTGTAGGCCTCAGGGAGTAACAGCCAGAGACAGGACCTCTCTCCACATTGCCAGACTTGGATGCTAGGGTGGGACTTTTAAGGAAGCTGGTGGGTTTCCTGACACTATTTATAAGTAATATTCACTCTGTGTCTCAAGTAAAGATCACTTGAGTATCTCAACAAAAGGTTAATTTGGGGTTGGTTTTTCTCTACTGTGTTGAAGGCACACATTATTTATAAAGGAAAATAGCCTTACCTTAGGAAATCAGATACAACTTAAAATTAATCTGACACATTTAATGATACCTTAGGAAGAGAATTCTTTCTAAACTTACGCCACGCCTACTAATACCAAAATAGAACCATTTTTGATTACCCATTGCTTAGAATTTTTTGTGTTTATGTTGCTTTCCAATCATATGGACAATAGAGATATGATTGTATACATTCAAGGCATTGGAAGCAGACATAATTTTCTAACTGCTGACCACCATTTCTCAAACCTAAATATGGTTCACATGAAGAGACACTCCTGTTGGGAAAATGGGAGTTTGGGACATTGTCCTGGAACTGATTTAGACCATTTACTTCTGCTTTTCACATATACAAAGAGCACTGGAGGAAAATGTACCCGGCAGATTTAAGTCACTGCTGTCATCCAATACCTCAGATTACCTTCAGTGATGCAGAATCATAAAATGTCCGGGTTTTGGGACTTCCCTGGTGGTGCAGTGGTTAAGAATCCACCAGCCAATGCAGAGGACATGGGTTCGAGCCCTGGTCCGGGAAGATCCTACATGCCGCGGAGCAACTGTGCCTGTGCACCACAACTACTGAGCCTGCACTCTGGAGTCCGCGAGCCACAACTGCTGAGCCCGTGTGCCACAACTACTGAAGCCCACATGTCTAGAGCCCATGCTCCACAACAAGAGAAGCCACCACAAGGAGAAGCCCTCTCACCACAACGAAGAGTAGTAGCCCCCGCTCGCTGCAACTAGAGAAAGCCCGCACGCAGCAACAAAGACATAATGTAGCCAAAAATAAATAAATAAATAAATTTATTAAAAAATAAAATGTCCCTTTTAAAAGGGACCTCAGAGATTCACTGGACCAAAGTGATCATTTTACCACTGAGGAAATGGAGACACAGAAAGGTAGAGGTGAGCACTGCTAGTTAGTGTAAGGCCCAGCTTCGTCCCCAAGTCGGCTAGCTTCCAGAAAGGTCACTGAAGCACGTTGGCCCTGACAGGAGCTACATCGGGAGCCTTTGGGTGACAAACCAATAGCTGTCACCCTGAGAATCAAAAGAGGAAAGTGCATAGTAAAAACACCAGAAAATTGAAGCTAGTCAGGGAATCGATGGTTAGACTAAGATGGGGTAAGAAAGGGGCCCCGTGGGATTAGGTCCTGGGTGATTAGGCATCTTCTTTCGGCTCATGCTTTTCCTCATCTTGTGTTCTTAGCCATACAATTCTGTGTGCATTTTGGAACTTGCCTCTTAAACTAAACTGGGGAGCCCATTCAGTAGGGATTTCCTCTTGAATGGAGGCAAGTTTGAAGGGATGCTGCTGAGCAGTAGATACAACTTCCAGCCAGACCTGCACATGGTCTCCAAATTTACAAATTTAAAGCAAAGAGCAAGCTTACTTAATTACCCTGGTAACCTCAGCAACAAAGAGGCCACGTGAAAAACGTCTGTGCTGGAATTATGCATGTTACTGCCACCGTGGCTGGGCCTGGCCTTCTCACGTGCCAGTGAGGGGAGCAGGCAGGAACACTGTCCTGCCAGGTGTCCCTGGATTCCTTCAGTTGTGAGTAAAGTCTCAGGCCCCAGAGCATGAGCAATGGTGAAGCAAGAAGCAGAGCTGTAAGATGTGGCAGGAGGACTGAGCTGGGTGGGGCAGGTGACCTCCAGCCCTGGATGAGCAGACCAAGTGAGTGAAGTGGCTCTCCCTGCCACTGCCTGCACCCTCTCTCTGGAGCCATTCATTTGGGTTAGCGGGCAGCCCCAGGAGGATGAAGGGCTGGCATGCTGATTCCTAGCTGAGAATCAGTTTAATCGCCTTGGTGTCTTTCAAACACCCATTCATTCACTTGATAAATATTTTTCAAATGCTAGTGTCTGCCAGGTCCGATGTCAGGGCCTGGGGATTCCAAGGTGAGCCACTAGTGACATTGTTCCTGCCCCCAAGTGAGAAAAAGGGAGTGCTGACATGTCAGGGGGGGCCTGCTGGGCAGAGGTGTCATCAAACACCAGACCCTCAAGAAGATGGGACTGGACTGAGGAGTTCTTTGCCAGGTAGGGGTACCTCCGTAGCCAGATGGCATCTGCCCCTGGGAGATAGAGGGAAAGGGTACAGGTGATGTATCAGCCCCACTCAGTATCCTGCTCTCCCCACCCCCCATTTCTGTGCTGACAAAGGTGGGAAAGCTGGTTTTTCTTGTCTGGGACAGTCCTCCTATCCTATCCAGTCCTCCTATCCTCCGGTCCTATTCCCAGCTCCCCTCCCACCTGAGATGGTCCCCATTCCACACCTTGCCCAGCTCATCTGCACATGTGGACAGGTGAGGCTGGGAAATGAAAGCACCTTAGAAGTGAGAAGAGCTCAGAAACTGGTTGCTACACTGAGGTCAGCTGGTGACTCCCTTGGTCCTTAAGACCTGGTCACAAACCACCAAGTCCATGGCCTACGGTGGTACCGCTTCCCCATCCTCCTGCGCGCCGCACACAGCTTCTCCTTGTTCTCATGTAACCCTTCTCTCCCCGGCCCCTGTGTGCAGGTTCTGATACATCCTAAGCCAACCCCTCTTTCCAATCATCTTGGAAACTACACTCCTGGGAACACTAATGAGTATGGTAGATTCACTGATTGACCAAGGGGGTGGAATTGGGGCTTACAAAGTAACGCAGACAACTTCCATCAGAGCTGGAGCTTTCACTGTTGTTAATGTGCCTTAGGCTGTCTCACCCCTGTGGAGTCTTGTGGTCTCTCAGCTCCTCCCAGCTTCTCTGGGCCAGCGCCCTAGTCTCTCACCCCTTCCTCCCGCCTCTGCACCCTTTCTGAAGGAAAGCAACAAATCCTGCCCCAAGCTTAATTATCCAGGTATTTTCCAAAGGACAGCCTCCTCTCTAAGAAGAATTATGGCACTAGCTATTATGAAGATCACCTTTTTCACTTTGTTACACATTATTATGAAATGTATAGCAAGCTGGGAGTGGTTTATAAATAAGAGAACAGTACTAGCCTGTGAAGGGCAGATAGAAGGTGCCTGCATATGCTTTCTGTCTCACACTTCCTGTCTTTGTGCTGGGCAAGTGTTGGCTCAGGATAAATGGCAGAGATGGCACAGACCACTGACCTTGGACTTTGCTCGCAGCCTTGGCCTCAAACCATGTGACCTCCTCCAGTGCCAAATGCCTCTTGGAATCCTGGGGGAGGGGAAGAACTGGCTCACTCACTTATTCTGGGTGGCACATAACTGCAGGTATTAGCTTTGCTAGGATTGAGGAATTTACTGTTGCAAGTTGTTAAGAAAAGGGGGTTGCAAAACCCACCAGGTGGCACCATACATGGAAGAAGACTTCCATTTCTTAGTCCTCCTAGGAAGGTTTTCCCTTTTTTGGCAGTGATGGGGGGTGGGGTGGGGAAAGGAGGGATTGCTTTCATGTTGACCACAGTTAAACATCACTTAGGCTAAGACAGCCTAGAAAACAGTTAAACAGGAAATTCGAGTAAATTATTTAAATGTTAGCCACCAGTATGAGTGTATTGATCAGTGGCAGGTGGAACTTTTTTTATTTGTTTTTAATTGCCAAAGTATACATGCCCATTATAGAATATTCTAGTAGTTCAGGAGGATATAAAATAAAAGGTGAAAGATCCTACCTCTCTCCTTGGCTCCCTCCTTCAATCCCCTTTCCGAAGCCACCACTTTTAATGGCCGCGTGGAAACCTTCTGGGCCTCTGTCTATGAATATATACTGTTATAATTTTTAAACCAAAGTGGGATGAGGAACCTATTGATCTGCAAATTGCCACTGTTTCTACCCACGTAGTGATATGTCGCTAGCATCTTTCTGGTTCAGCTGGATCATTATTTTTAACCGTTGTGTGAATCTATCATGATGTAGTTATTAAAGCTCCTGATAATTAGGGGGGGGTTGCCCATTATTTTCTATTACAAACAATGCTGCGGTAAAAATTTGGTGCCCGTGTGTGCGCACGTGCCTGAGGACTGCGCTAGGGTGCGAGCCCAGAGGCACGGTGCAGATACCGCCAGGTCGCCTTTCAACAATACTGTATCAACTTATTCAGGAAAGCACGCTCCCAGGGAAGAAAAGGGTTTAACATTTCCAGCAAAGAGAGGGAAGGAGTTAGGCTTGTCCTTCAGGGAGTGCGGGAGGCTAGGCTTCGCTTGGGGACGTGCGCTCTGTTGGGCGGGAGAGGCGGCCCGGCGAAGGGCGGGTGCCCTCGGCTCGCAGAGCCAGAGCCGGAGCCTGGGACGGTGGGGATGCGGAGCCCGGTGGGGATGCGGGACGCAGGCCGAGGTCTAACCGCGTCGGTGTGTGTTTCCCCCGCCCCGAGCAGGACGACAAGTACTGGGCGCGGCGCCGGAAGAACAACATGGCGGCCAAGCGCTCGCGTGATGCGCGGCGCCTCAAGGAGAACCAGATCGCCATCCGCGCGTCCTTCCTGGAGAAGGAGAACTCGGCGCTGCGCCAGGAGGTGGCCGACCTGCGCAAGGAGCTGGGCAAGTGCAAGAACATCCTGGCCAAGTACGAGGCCCGGCACGGGCCCCTGTAGGCCGGCGTCCGCGGGCGGCCTCAGGCCCCGGACAGGGGTCTCCTGGTTGATTGCACCGCACCTACCGACCTTCCTGACATCAGCACTTTACCAGATGCATCAACAGGACGGACTCACATTTTGGCGTGGGTGTGTGTATGTGCTTGTGCTCATGTGTGGTCAACGTGTGTGTGTGTGTGTGTGTGTGTGTGTGTGTGTGCGCGCGCGCGCGCGCGCGCGCGTCCCTTTGCACTTGCCATTTTGATAGCCCTCCATCGTCTTTTAGTTCCAAAATGAAAGGTGCCATGTTTTTACTGGACTGCGGAGACCTCTCGTGGGTTTCCTGACCCCCTTCCTCCTCCACTCCTGCCCTTTTCGCGTGGCTTCATGTTGGCACTTACCTACTCTTCCAGGACCCTCTGGTTGGGTTCACTAAGAAGGGCCCTGGTGAAATAGTAGATCTCGGTTTTCAAGACCACAGGCTCTTGTTTCTGTTTAATCTGTAAGTTACCATGCTAATAAGGTGCACAGAATAATTTAGCACTACACTGCAGCTCCATTCAGTTACAGGTTGCTTCCCTCCTATCTTCAGTTTTGGTGATAATCGTCTTCAAATTTAAAGTGCTGTTTAGATTTATTAGATCCCATATTTACTTACTGCTGTCTACTAAGTTTCCTTTTAACTCTACCAACCCCAGCAAGTAAGAGTACTATTATAGAACACAGAGTGTGTTTTTGCACTGTCTGTACCTAAAGCAATAATCCTATTGTACGCTAGAGCATGCTGCCTGAGTATTACTAGTGGACGTAGGATATTTTCCCTACCTAAGAATTTCACTGTCTTTTAAAAAACAAAAATTACAGTAATGCATTTGAGCATGACCAGAACATCCCCAGGACAGAGAAGCAGAGGGAAATGCCAGGTCTAAGAACGAGGGGTTAACTTATCAGTATACAGCCAAAAAAATGCATCTTGGAACAGTTTTTGACATTGATGTGTTTGCTTTTGTTTTCTCCTCTTTCCCATACCCTTAGCCCCCAGTTTTCTAGTTAACTTTTTCCACATCCCTCTTGATATTCAATACAATTCAATTAAGATTCAGTTTTCCCCATTTTTTGTAATATATATGTTTTTGTGAATTATACCTTGTCGTTTTTAAAAATCAGTCAGTTAAGTTAATAAGTTGATGTTTTGTAAAACCCTTTTTCCTAGTGGTGTCATTTTTGAATGCTTCATAAATTAATGATTTTGGAGCTTATGTTTCTTATTCTCTGTTTGCTTTTGAACGTATGTGCTCTTATAAAATGGACTTCTGAAAAATGAATGTAAAAGACACTGGTGTATCTCAGAAGGGGATGGTGTTGTCACAAACTGTGGTTAATCCAATCAATTTAAATGTTTACTGTAGACCAAAAGGAGAGATTATTAAATTGTTTAATGTTTATACAGAGTAATTATAGGAAGTTCTTTTTGTACAGTATTTTTCAGATATAAATACCGACGATGTATTTTGGAAGACATATATTATATATAGCAAAGAGAAAAGGAAAACTATTCCATGTTTTAAAATTATATAGCAAAGATATATATTCATCAATGTTGTACAGAGAAGAAGTGCTTGGGTGTTTTTGAAGTCTTTAATATTTTAAGCCTATCACTGACACATCAGCATGTTTTCTGCTTTAAATTAAAATTTTACAACAGTATCGAAGCTTGCTGTGACAAATTCTGCTCTAAAACATCAAAGGAGCTTTCTTATTTCCTATTAGGTCTCAGAAAGAAGTCAGTTAACATCACCCAAAAGCACAAAATGGATGTTAGTCAAATATTTATTGGACGATACAGTGTTTTTTAGGAAAAGCATGTGCCACAAAAATGTTCACTTCAAAATTATGAGTTCCTGGAATGGAACATCACTGCAAGCATCCCAAACAATTCTGTTCTCCTCTGTGAGCACGTGCATCTGACGCAGTATAAGGTTAATATTGGTGCTATGTGGATGGTTTATAATTTAATAGATGTTTTGACTTTAAAGACAATTGTTCTTTTGTTTCACTAACTTGTGTCGAGAGATTCTGCTGTTGTTGCAAAGAAACATTTTCCGCAAGATTAAAATACCCTTTAATCAGTGGGGTTTTCTAGTTTCCTGTGTCCAGAGTATGTAATTCTTTAGTGACCTGGTGGTCTCCTTGTCAATCCGTCAGCAGTGCTCCTCTCATAGTGTCATAGTCTTGGAAAATCTGAATAGTAAAATATTCCTGCTAGGTATCCATTTTGTCCCAAGATACAGATTATGGTGGGAGATGGGAGAGTATTGGAATTGAAATACATTGTTCAGGTAAATAACCAATAAAATAAACAAGACCTTTGGCAAACTTAAGCGGAACTGAATAAGTGTTATTCAGAGAAACAAGTGGACATGGAGTTGGCCTTTTTATACGTAAAGAGACTAATTGCAGCAGAATTGTTAAATCGTCACTAAAACAGAAACAAATGACATCTTTAAGTGGAGAAGTGTTGAAGGATTGTACTGAAGACCATCTAAATTCATTGACGTTTAAAATGGTAGCTGAAAAAACTGTATTTGAGTACTGGTCTTTCTGAAATTAGGTTGTTTGTATCAAATGAGCATCATAAATGTTTTCTGCAGAAGAAATAAGATCACAATAAAACATTCTTTGGCGTGCCAAGGGAGGTTTCAGAAACCTACCTCGTCTTAAAAATTTAAAAACTTTGGAGTCTGTATAGGTGCCTTATATGTAGGTTATTGTCACCACACACATGAGCACTCAACCCCTGGACTCACTGCCTTCTGTCCAGGGCAGTCAACTAGTAAATAAAGCAGTTCTGCTAAATGGTATGGGAAGCCCGGCCCAATTTGGAATGACTTGGATCATCCAGGGTCAAATGAGTTCTGCAGACTGAAGCTATTAAAAGAGTCCTGTTGTAATTTTTCACCTTTTCATCGTAAGCATCTTTCAGAGATTAATTACTTGGCCATTAAAAATGAATCCAAATCATATTATGCCAACATCATTTAGACATGATTGGGAATGAGCGGCCTAGAACTTCCTGACAAGGTCACATCTTCATTTCTTTTGACTAGACTTGCGAAGAAAGGCAAAAATTGGTCAGCCTATCCTTCTGCTTGTGCCGCCTTGAGGACATAGGTAGGGAATGGGAGGGAGGTAAGTGATCACTTCCTCCCCTTGAGAAAGTGGCCACTTTTGACCATTCAAAACCCACAGTGAGCAGGATAGTGACAGGCCTTTCATCTTCAAATATAACAGACCACTGTGAAACCATCCTTTGAAGCAGAAGGACCATTTGTTTGAGGAGCGTGCAGACGGAATTCTGGCATTGGGTGGGGAGGAAGCTGTATGAGAAAGCCCAGAGGTTCCTTCCAACTCACCAGTTTTGTGAGGGAACTCACAATAATTCTGCATGTACATTTGAAAGGTCTTGAGTCTGTTTTCAGAAGAGTCAAGAAGAATTTTAAGTAGAGTCCTTCCCACCTCCCACCCCCACCCCAAAGTAAAACAAAGGTCATTCTGTAAAACGCAAGGAGTTTATCTACTTTTCCCCTAATGTTCCTTTTAGGAAAACTCAAACTTGATCAGCGTTAGTCAGACCAATCCCAGAAGGTGGTAGACACCTGCTCTCAGTCCGCCAGCTTCCTGCTGAGGGCTTCTAGGCCCCCACTGGGAAGGCCAAGATCTCCTCTAGGTTTTCTCTACAATTAACAATGTCATTTTTAAATGAGCAAAGCCATGTCTTCAATCTTGATGCATTGGATTTGGCAACTAAAGTCAGTACATTTTGCAAAGGGCCAAGTGTATGTAGAGGAATGTGTGTGTGTGTGTGTGTGTGTGTGTGTGTGTGTGTGTGTGAATAGTTAAGGTATAAAATCTTTCATTTTGGAGCACCTTACCGAACATAACAATAATCACTGTTATCCTTTTGGCAACACCACAAAGATTGCATCTGTTAAACAGGTACAAGTTCACTTGAGGTCAGTGTAATTGTACACCATGGTATTGGTGGTGTTTATTGATGATAAGTCCAAACCTTTATCTGTCTGTTATTCTTAATGTTTAATAAACTTTGGATTGTTTCCTGTCTTTATTTTTGTTGACAGTCTGCTGGAAATTAGATTCTGTTCCCAATTCTATCATAAAGAAGCCATTGACAGAGATTAATTACATAGATGATAAAGTAATAATACTATATAGTTAGTGAAAAATCAACATTTATTGAGTACTTACATGCCAGGCACTATGCTGAACACTTGCATGGAATATTTTATTTAATCCCATGTCAACCCTATGAGGTAGGGACAATTGTTATCTCCATTTACAGAAGAAAGATAGAAGGTTCGGGAGCTTAAGTGGCTGGTAGAAGTGACAGAAAAGAGCTCTGATCCATCAAATGAGTGTCATTTAGAGTGGTGGTTCCCAAAAACCAGTCCAAAGACTGTTTTCTTGTTGGATGTATGAGAATCACCTGGGATCACATTACAAGACTGCAGATCCAGTAATGCCGAATCAGTACATCTGGGATGGGGCCTGGAAATCTGAATTTCTTAAAGGTTCACAGCTAACTCCCATGTGTGGCCAAGTAATTAGAGCCAAGGATTTACAGACTTGACCTTAATTTGAGTTCATGACCTTGGGGGATCCATGTAGAAGCTTCAAAACTTCCATAATTACCTGAAACTGTATGCAACTTTTTGTGTATAAACATGTATTTTTCTGTAGAGGAGATCCATAGCTTCCCCACCCTCCAAAGGAATCTGTGATGCAAGATGGAATAAAAACCCCTGATTAACAGGAAGGCTGATGTAGAATGGTGGTTCCCAGCCCAGGCAGCCCATTAGGATCACCTGGGGAGCTCAAAACACTGGCGCTCATGTGCCACGGTCCAGGCCAAGGAGCTCAGCATCTGTGGCAGGAGAGAAGGGAGCTCTGGTGAGGAGTTCAGTGGTTCAGATCTGTCGCTTAGCGAGTGTGTGACCTTGAACAGCTACTAAGCACTTTTAAACCTAAATCTCCCATCTGTGAGAAGGTCAGCTCTCCACCCCTGAGGGTTTTGGGGAGAACTAATGACATAAATGCATAGTCTCTGGTACATCATCGGCCCTCAATAAATAACTGCCACAGGGACCTGAGGAGTAGAATGTGTACCTGCTGCACTTTTTCCAGTTCAATATTTCAGACCATTTGTTCCTCCAAAGAAGTCAGAAAACAGTTCTGTGCAGAAGAAGAGGTAGGTGGCTGGTGGCGAGAGAACAGGTGATGCCCCAGCATGGGTGTGGTTCATACTCTGACATCCCTAGTAGATCAGAGCTTTGACCACAGATTGGGGGACGTCCATCCAGGTGGCACCTTCCAATTTAAGCAGCTACAAGTCAGGAGTCAGCTCTATTTCACCATTAAACAACTTTCTCCTTTCTCAGAGGAATAGGTACAATGACCTTAGCAAGATTCTCTTTGAGTAAGTGATTTTATATTTTTGCATCTTCGAACCTCTTGGAGGAAATGACTGCTTCTCCATGCCTGGAGAGACTTGTGACTTTAGGATGGCAGGAACTGATGTGAAGCCCAGCTGTGTAGATGCCCAGTCACTCATGAGCCCTCAGTCCCCAGGGCCCATCACATGCTGCCCTTGGGATGGTTTTTCCATTCCCATTTAAACCTAACAAACCTTCAACTGCCAAGCCCTTCTCTTCAAAGCACAGGAATTCCATTCCCTCTTTGAAGATCACTGGCTTAGAAGTCTCTTTGGGCATCTTTAGCAAGGATCTGGGTGGGAATTGTGGAAGTCTTGCCTTTGTGGTCGGGAGATGGCTTCTTGGTAATAAATGTAAATGACCCTATTGGAGGAGAAAGACCCAGGTAAAGACGGTGGTGAGCGTTCTCTGCCTCTCTGGGCTTTGAGTCAGTGAAGACTTGCGTCCAAAGGCCCCTCTCTGACTTCTCTTCATCCTGCAAAGCCTGGCACGATAGGAAAAGCTGACAGTTACTGAACCCTGTACTAAACTAAAAGCTGACAGGTACTAAACCGTGCACCTGCCACATCTCAATTCCTTCTCATGCTATGAAATTGCTACTAATCTTTTTCCTGTTTTAAAGAAACAGGCTCATGGAAATGAGGTAAGCAGAATTTAAGCCCAGGCGGGAAGCCTGATTCCAGAGTTTGTGTCCTGTGCTACTGTACTCCATGGCTTAAACTACAGGCTCAACAAAGGCCAAAGGCGATCACTGTAATTAGGAGGGTGGGCCCCGAGCAGGCAAACCTGGGCTTGAATCCCGTCTCTATTATTTACTGTGTGACCATAGAAAATTCAGCAAATTGCCCTGAGTTTTACCTGCAAAATGGACAAACTACAACTCTCCTTATATGGTTGTTATTAGGATTAAGTGAGAACAGGCCTTGAAAACATTTGGATCAATGTGCAGAGTATAACAGGACTTCAACAAATATTTGCTTTTTGTAATAATCATAGCAATTATTAATAAATGTTGCTTGATTTGATTTCACTGGTGATGTGTTACAATAGAGTCAGACTATATATTGTGTATTTTAGCGGGTGCATTTTTTTTTTTTTTTTTTTTTTTTTTTTGGTTCGCGGGCCTCTCACTTTTTTGGCCTCTCCCATTGCGGAGCACAGGCTCCGGACGCACAGGCTCAGCGGCCATGGCTCATGGGCCCAGCCGCTCCGCGGCATGTGGGATCCTCCCGGACCGGGGCACGAACTCGTGTCCCTGCATCGGCAGGCGGACTCTCAACCACTGCGCCACCAGGGAAGCCCTAGTGGGTGCACTTTTATTCTGCAAATACTTGATTCAAGAGCCTCTTCTACATTTTGGTGACATCCCTGTTTTATGGATGAGTAAACAGCGGAGAGAGTGTGGTCACTTTATGAGCGAAGTTGTGTTTCTGAGATTGATTTTATAAACATAAAATTCATGAAGCATCACCAATTTTAAGCCAACTCTGTTGCCTCTGATATTGTTGGGATCTTGGAGACCTTTACTTTAACGAACGTACTGAATGGTACTGAAAGTCTGACCCTTGCAGTGTGAGGGAAGGCTCCCGCTCACACAGAGATGAGAAGTCGTGGGTGGTTCCCAAGGGTCTTTTGTTAGCTTCTGCCTTCAGGCCTGCCCCAGTCTCCATGCTATACATCTATATCTATACCTCTATCTATCTATCATCTATCTATGTATCTATCATGTATCTATCTATGTATCTATCTCTCTCTCTCTCTATCATCTGTCATCTTTTTTTAGCTCCTGCTAATAACATGTAGAGCCAGGCCCAGACCCCCGTGGTCTATGACAAGGCTGAGAACTATGTCAGCAGCTTACTAAACCCATTGCTTTCCCTTCTAGACATTCACCTAGACCACATTTTCCAGCCTTCCTTTCATTTCGTGTGGCCAGACAACTGAATTCTGACCAATAGAACATGAGCGGGAGTGATCCTGGGTGTCACTTCACGGCTGGCCCACAAACATCTCCATCTACCCTTCTTCCTCTTCTCCTTCTTCTGGCTCCAGCAGATGCTCTGAGAAGAAGGAGACTTAAGGAGGAAGGGACCTAGGTCTCTTGAGTCACTGAACTGTTAGATGAGGGAGAAAAAAACCTTCCTGTACTAAGCCTTTGAGAACCTGGGGTTGGCTGTTGCAGTGGTCAGCCTACCCTGATTTGAGAACCTTCATCTGCAGTCCAGTGTCCTTATTTGAAGTCTTCACATCTTTGCCAGCCTCTTCCCCAGGCTAGGGAGTGGAGGATGGTTCCTCGTTAAAACCCAGACTCGTCACCTCTCGCATACAGGACCTTGTGGTTTACCTACCTCCAGGACAGACCTCCCACCCTGGTTTGGCCCAGCCTGTTGGGCTGGACCTTCAGAATATCACTGCCTGCCTCTTGCCTCAGTTTCTCCTGCATTTGAACAGTGTCCAGATGCCCTCAGGGGACCAGCCTCTGTATCTATCCCTCCCCTAGCCTAGACCCTCTCCCTGGCCACTTGGTCCCTCCTCCATCCCTCACACCAGATATTCAGTTACATACCTAGAAATGAGGCCTAAAGTTTCCTAGAGCACTGAGCATTGAATTTGTTTCTAATGTAATATATTTTGGGGCTTAAAAGTCTTGTATTGACCCTCCACATTTTTCAGCCGTGAAACCATATCTATAGACTGAGATTATTATTTTATTCTCTCTGAACATAAGGCTCAAAAAGTTTTAAAAATGTTTCTTTAGGTGTGATTTACAGTTACCTCGACTACTACTATGCAATTGATCAAAACCACATATATATGTTAATTTTTTTTAATTTATTTTTTTGAAGTATAGTTGATTTACAATGTTGTGTTAATTTCTGCTGTACAGCAAAGTGATTCAGTTATACATATATATACATTCTTTTTCATATTCTTTTTCATTATGGTTTATCATAGGATATTGAATATAGTTTCCTGTGTTATATAGTAGGACCTAGTTGGTTATCCATTCTATATATAATAGCTTGCATCTGCTAATCCCAAATTACCAATCCATCCCTCCCCCACCCCCTCTCCCCCATGGCAACCACAAGTCTGTTCTCTATGTCTGTGAGTCTTATAAATTCATTTGTGTCATATTTTAGATTCCACATATAAGTGATATCATATGGTATTTGTCTTTCTCTTTCTGACTTACTTCACTTAGTATGATAATCTCTAGATCCATCCATACATATGTTAAATTTTTTGATAAATTTACTACTGACCTTTAAAAGCAAAACTTCGGTGGAATTGCAAATCTTGGGGAGATGGATGTGAGTGATTGTGGTGCCTTGACAACAAAAGACTTTGAAGACAGCCAACTTCCTCTTCATCCCTTGGTGCCCCAGGCGTTTTTACACCTGGAGCCAGAGGCCCCCCCCCCCCCAAGTAAGACTTAGACTGTGCGGGAAGTCTGCTTATTTTTGGTAGAGAGGAGCATGATTTTGAAAGGGGAGGAAAGGAAAGGAGTCCTCATCAACAGCACTTCCTTGGGCAGATCAGTTTAAGAAAAAGTACATATAGAAGTTGAGGATCTAGAAATTCCCTTAAAACTCATCTGTGCACACATAT